TACGAATTCTCGTTTTTAATGATAAAAAAATTTATAGAAGTTATCTATTGCACTAGCTGCTTTATGTAAGAAGTAACATAACAGTTACAATGAAAAAAAGGGAAAACTTACTTAAATCTAGTAAATATAACTATTTGAAATAAGAATAACGGAAGAAGAATGCAATACACTACTTACAAATATTTTTTCCGTAGAATAATGCTATTAATAATGCTATTTAATAATGCTATTAGTATTCGTTCAAATCAAATTTTTGTTAATTGTTTAAACAAATTATTGATATTTGAATTATCTGGAAATTATCAAATATAATTTTCAGATAATCCAAATTCATAATTAGTGACTCTATAATTAGATACATAATAATAAAACATAATTTAGTCAAGAGTTTATTTTTCTCGTGAAATTTCTATACATTCTTGTATGTATATATATATATATATATATATACGTATCTTTATACATATCACAGCAATTTTACATATTCCTTTTGCCACTGCGCGATATTAACATGTAATAATAAATAAATCTAAATTACATTTCCGTTTCTCAATATTAAATATCTCAAAAAGATCTAATTATCCCAATTCAAATAGACAGCCAAGAGCAAATTGAATTTGCGTACGTTTGTTTTCACCTTTTCACTCGTGTAATCGTACTCGCTAATCATCTTTTTTCATTTCTTTTTCTTTTTACTTTATTATACGCTCGAATACTACAGATGTGTTTAAGTTTTCACAGGAGAGAAGATCGCTGCTAATAATTAGAGTTAAGTTACCGAGTAGCCGGGAGGCAGGATCGACAGAGGTAAAATTATCGCGGTAAGAACGAGATAAATAAGAAGAGCATGCGCACATCTTGTTGGCTTCGACAGTGCGTAACTGCTAAACCTTTCCTAACCACACTGAGCATTAAAACGAGCACTGGCCATGAGAAAAAGGATTAGTTTCTTTGAAGGCATTTAACCATGATTACGGGATCGATCGTATTGACCGCTCTCGCACGCGATTGAAGTAGTGTGCGACACGCACGATTAGCGTAAATCTACACTTGAGAAGCAAAAAGATCCAAATGCTAGGTCTTATTTCAAAAAGAGAATACACGAGGATCAATTTTATTGCAACCCGTAAATTTAATTAAATTTAATTAAAATAACGCAGAGTTTCATTATCCACGTAAAATACTTTAGGATAAAATAAAATTATACGAACATACATATGATCTCTTCTGCTCCTCAAACATGAAGTGCATTTCGTTTACAAAATCCATTAAATTCTATTCTCGATTCGATCTTTGTTTCATTAAGAGAGATCGAAGTTTATTGAATCAGGTTGGCGATACAAAAAAAGATTACGACATTCAAAATATATGTCGAGAAAAATCTCGCATACAGAAAGCATGCGGATATCTTATAGTTCATAAAGAATTCCGCTTCTTGTATTGCATGTAGTGATGTTTCCTCACTCATATCTCACCAGCTTAGCTATTCGGCGTATATTACAGGAGTCTATGATAATAGTACAGTAAAAAGTTCGACACTCCCAGGGTCAAAGATCTCAAAGCTCTCATCTCTCTCAACTCACCCGTGAAAGCAAAGTGTCTCTCTCGTGCTCTCGCGTTTATCAGGCATGCCTCTCGCGGCCACTTCGCGATATACTTTGATAAACGACACGCGAACGAGAAAGAGTATCGATGTATGCGAGTTGTCCCGTTCAGTGAATAACCAGCTGAGAATCTTATTAAATAACTGAATATCTCTCGAGATAAAATATTACTCCTTTACGCAAGTACATGTAGTACAAGATTTAATGCTTCAAATATATCAGCTTTGCGTCAGGAGGGAATTATTTTATATTCGTAATGTGAATAAAGAACATTAAAACGGAGAGATTATTGATTTAAACGCTCTACAGTAAAAATAAGAAAAGATGCAGCGGTCGTTCACTGATGCCGTACTCCAAACGCGAGCGGAATGCGAGATACCGTGTGACAATGTCGGCACTCGCGCGTATGTTATCCCGTTTGAAAAGTGTTCTTCTCCCATAGCACGTTTTTACCTTATTTTTTTGCCGTACATCGTCCATTTTCGCGAAGCGGATGCGCGATGTTTGAAGTCGTAAAATACCATGCATGTGAAAGAATCAGTTGCTCTCGCGTATCGGAAAACAAATATTTTTTTCCCATCTATTCGGTGACTTTAAATATTTCATCTGACCGATATTTTTCTTTCGCCAATTTCCTGCTCGATGTCGTTTATTCGACGAACTGATGTTTCGCAATGCGTAAACAAATATAATGGCGAATTCCATCGGTCGCACTTAATGTATATGCCGATGCAAACACTGGGTAAATCAAATGGTGTAATCAAATCTCTATCAACCCGCAAATCTCATAAGTTCATTACAAGCCTTAAATTTATTTAAAATAAATTCTGAATCCAAATTTAATACTTCAATCAAAATTATTACATTAAAACAATTTATTACATAAAATCGCTTTTTCGATAAAATTTTATATCTTATACACCTTAAGAAAGAATAAATTCTTTGTTTGAGTACTAAGTTGATACTAAATTTTTCGAAAATTTGTAATAAATAAATTTTCAGATTTTTAACAAGAAAATATTCTTTGTTAAAAATAACTATTATTTAAAAGAAACAAAAGTCTGAGCAATCACTTTTTTTAGCAGTTGAATGATATTTTCTGTGTGTATGTACAACAATCTATCCGGCAGTTGTCGATTTGATTTAAAGATGGCTGTTAAAAGCCATCCAAGCGACTCCGTAATAATAACGAATAAGTTTATTTTCAATTCAATATTTGTATTATTAATTCGTCCAGAGAAGTCAAGAGAATGTCACTCATGTTTGTGACTCATGTAGGACATGCGCAACAGATTCAGTTCCAGCACAAGAAAACTTCTTCGTCGACTACTATCTCCGTCGTGTTATGAAATCCAAGCACGTCATTGCCGATAAATCAACGCAACAGTCGGACGATCTCGCGAGCAATTCTCGATCGCCCGGCCGGCCGATCAATCACGCGCTTTCAATCCCCGACACGTGTGTGATCCGGCGAACGTCCCGACGTACGTACGAACGAATGAACATCAGCGTGGTATCGCGAATCAGCACCAGGTGGGCAGCTCACGCTAATTCACCAGTTAGCCCCATGCGGCTGGCATTTGACGTCGATTTGCATCTGCCTACCTGTACTCAGAACTGATCGGACCCCTGCCGTAATTTAAAGAGAACATGAAGTAAAATCGATAGCCAAACAAATCAAATTTAAAATTATGGTACGTTCTGGGCGCGTCCTACTTTTCTGACGTCTGCCCAAATACGTCTGGGTTTGGAAAATTTACCCAAGTTCACCTAGTCTTCTCTTAAAGAGACTATTGAAATTAACTTTATTCCACATTTTGTTTCATTCAAATTTTCAAGTCCCAAATTGAATGTAACTACATTGTAACGTTTAATTCGTTTAAATAATATCTGTAGAAGACTTAATATGTATTAATATGTCATATTATGTGTGGACAATGATTGAAACAATGTGATAAAAATGTAATATATTCATCGTATACTGCATATATTTATAATTCATCATATATTTATAATTCATTTAATACGTAAAAATTCTTATTTTTCGTTATTTCTTGATATCATCTGCTTTCTTTCAAGTCATTCCATTGTTTCTAAAAGATAATCTAAACCTTACTTCCTTTTCAACTTCTGTAACAAGTGTTCTAAAGTTTGTCTCGTCCTAATCACATTACCGACTTTCACCTCTCTTGGCCTCCGGTTGAGACTATAACATATTGTCCGGGGAATTAATTGAACGGCTGCGAGACGCGTTGACCGTATGGGATATAATGGATGGATAGTCGCGGCTAGATAATAGATGGATGGATTCGCTGGTGGATGATAATGGGTCGTGTCAAGTGCGAGACGAGACGAGACGAGCTGAAGTAATCCAAGTGCCTACAATGTGTACGCGACACGAGGTCGAAGGCTCCCCGTCTGTGACGTCACGATACTCATTTGTCGTCTCCACTAACACCAGATCTACGTTGCATATATGTATAGACTATTGCATACCAAAGGTATCTTCCAAAATATCTTTTGTGAATTTTTTTTATATGAAAGTAATTTATTGAAAATACCGAAGAAAAATTTCTTGCAAACTTACAATTTTCAACATTATATAAATACTTATAACTTTAATTAGCATTAATCATTATTTAATTTATAATTTTTTAAAATAAAATTTACTTGGAAATAAGTCAAAGATATAATTTTATTAAAGTCACAATAGCTTCAAAAGCAAAATAGTCTGCAAACTCAATTTGTTATATTATTAATAAATTGAATTTGCAGACTATTATGCTTAAATACTGTATTTCTAATTTAAATCATTGCAAACTGCGAAATCCAATTAATCGATCTTTTCTGTAGTCTTGCTCTATTTACATTCTCGAGGAGTGCAAGATTAATTATTTCAAGAGAGATGCGAAACAATAGTTATTTTTGATAATTTTAATAAAGAGATAAAGCTTTCATAACGCAGACATATCATTTCAATGTAATTTGATTCATATATTAAAACCCATAATAATATATATATAATGATGTTAATCATGAATAAATAACACAACTATGTGAGAGAGCTTAATATGGTTTTGTTATGTGAGACCTTAATGTGATTAACCATGTCAGGCATACCACGATTACTGTAATAATAGTGATTCGCCATTTTGATAACCTCTGCACAAGAATCAATTAAGACAATTGCTCGATCTGACCGAATTCTATTCTCTGTCTCTCTCTCTCTCTCTCTCTCTCTCTCTCTCTCTCTTGCGTGCAATTTAAAGAATACTTTACTAACAATGCGTTCCCTCGTTCGCCAACACTACGCCCATGGAAATTAATCCGCGCAGCCATAAATTGATTAAGCCACTGAAAGCCACGTAATTTGTTTTTCACTTTGTTTTATTGCAGATCAGTGCGGAAAATGTCGCGCCAGCACGAAGAGGCTAAATCTCAACAAGTACTGCAAAAGAGACTACGGTAAGTGTTCCCGAATCAAACAACGCTGTGGACAAAGAACTGTGTAGGTAATTGCACTCACCCCTTTGATATAATGGAACTCAAACTGTAGAAACCCAAACAACGCGACAAACGTCCCGCCTTCCGCCACACGAAATTCTATAATTAAGTCGTTCTTATATCAACTATCACATTTCTAAAAATAAAACGACCCATTCTAAAGTAAAGGAATATATCACTTTAAAATCTATCTACACTTATACTTAAAACTCATCACGCAACATCTTTATATTATGACGAATTTCTTAAGAAATCTATATTTTCTTGTAATTTCTTGATCATTAGAAGAATAAATATTTTGATAAATGTTTTAAGCACTATAGAAGATATAGAGAGAAATATTCAATTTTCATTAAAGGATCAAACAATCAAAAGTTTCAAAGTGTATAAAAATGAAGAATTAGTATTATATCCAATATGACCCCGTTATTTTTGCAATAGACAAATAATACAAAACTTCTAATCCAATATCACACTGACAAGTTAAATAACAGCGCTCGAAAACGACAATAAACGTAGTGATGTAGACAATCCTGGCTGGCCGATGTGGAAAAACATTGCGCGACACAAAGCCACCGGAATTGTTTCGGCTTTTATCGGGAATAGATGTGTGCCCGCCCCAATAATGTGTGGAGGACGCATGTAAAACAACGATTTATGCCAGAGTGCCGTTCTCTCTCTCTCTCTCTCTCTCTCTCGAAAGTCCTCGAAAAAGTCGAACATAAATGTACGCATAGGGAGAGGGACCCGAAGGGAGAGAAACAGGGAGACAGTAAGAGAAGAGGCAGTAACGGATTTTGCTTTAAAAAGTCCTGCATTTGCATGAAAAAGATTAACAAAAGACGTTTAAGAAAAATTATATTAAACGAAATCAAAATGGATATTTGTAAAATAGAAAATAATTTTAAAAATCACTTTTAAAAAGAATCCTTCCTATTTTCTAATCTCCAATTTTTTCTATAATTACACTAATTGCTTTATATTCTGCATCTGCTGTTCTTCTATAATAAATATGAAATATTAATATGTTAAATTTTGTTATCTCTTTATAAAAAATTAAAAATTTCACATCGGTTTACAATACTTGGGGCTCGGAGTTGGCTAAACCCGTCATTGAGGAGAACGAGAAAGAAAGGATAGCGTTGTTTGCGTACGGTCGCAATTGCGCTCTCTTCTCGCGGTGGTGTATCTATATAACAACTCGTTCAAAAATGAAAGACTCGCGTTTTAACGGTGCCGGGGCTTTCAATAATAGAATGGTATGCCTTTGAGCCATGGTCCGGCGCGGGTTTGGCCGCGCAGAGCAACTTCGACGCTCCCTGCTTCCTTTCCTGTCCGCTCGTTTGATTCAGCGCAGATAAATCTTCAACAGGTCTGCACTTAGCTGTCTCCGACTTAGAATAGCGGCCAAAACGACCGTGTATCCTGTAGTCGTGTCGCGAAAACGAAACTGATCGAGAAGCGACGCCTCGTGCACGTGCCTCCACGTGTTTTTCGCTCAGAGCGAGGAATACGTAAAGAGATGTCATCATAGGAAGCTTCTACACTGATTTTACAATGATTTTAAACATCATAACAACTCATCAAGGATAAAATTGCAATACAAGAAAAACTTGACTTGATAGAAATGAAAGATTATAGGAGGAAAGAAATATTTCATAAAAACATCAATAAAGTAAAAAATTATTTTTACCTACAAATATCATATATAAAATGTTTTTTTAGTTTGAGTTTTATCCATTGGAAATTTTTTTCTTAACACAAGTAAACATTTTTAGAATAACAACAGAAATTGATTATAGAATAAAAACAAAATTACACAAATATATATAATTTTTCACGTAAATATTCAATAATTTTGCATTTCACATTTTTTTCGTCTATTAATTGCGTTTTCTTAACAAGAGATCAATTTAGGGTATTATATTGTATATATATAAGGATGTAATAACTCAACAAAGTCAGTTGAATTCGCGAAATTGCTACGAAGCAAAGAAAATACACATTTCCACTTCAAAAATATATTCTGTTATTCTCCCCCACGAGAGATGTAAAATCTCCAGACTACGATGTCAAGAATAACGCGGCCCCGTGATTCGAATAGCAAACTCCGGGGTCAGGCACAACGGCGTATAAACTCGTAACGCCGACGTCGAGTAATGAATGGTTCGATCGAATGCAACTCAACGCTAAATCGTTTCGCAGGGGCATGACCCTAGTCCTTGGCGAAAGGCTAATAGTATCCCTGTCCTGAGGACGACAGGATCGATGGTAAGTCGTAACAGGAGAGAAAGAAAAGAAAAGAGTTGTGCCCAGCCGCCGCGCCGGCCGCCTCCCATTCAATTCTATAGTCTCGACAGAGGTTGAAAGAACCTAGACATCCTTTGAACGAAAGGAACACATGAGTCCATGTTAAACACTATTATGTTCAATATACATTTTAATTACAACGTAAAACATTTAATTCTCTAATTACATTTTTCTGAAGTTTTCTGAAATTATTTAGAATTATTGTGAAGTTACATTTACTTAAAGTTTTATTTTATAAAACTTTATAATAAAAAGATAAATTTTATTTAAAAAATGATGTACTAAAAAATCTTTTATTTCATCTTGTAGAATACTCGGAGGAAAAAGAAGTAACTTCAGCTATTGTCGAACGAAGTCATTATTGTCTCCATAAAATACTATGAAATTCTATATTCTATAAAATACAATAAAGGCTTCAATATGTTCTTCT